TTCATGTGATTGAACTTTTAATTTTAATGCAGATGAAGCATTTTGTCCATTAAACATAATTTAATTGTTTTGGTAGGATAACATTTCACTTTAAGCACTGACAATTTAGCTCCCACGCTGATTTCTTTCTGAACTAAGTATAAAATACCAGATTTTGAAAAATCAGTAAGAAAAAAAATTAGATTATCTCATTAATAATTTTTTATTATTTGTTGAAATGATAGTGTGCTACATATATTGAATTAAATAGAATATATTATTAAAATTAATTTCACCCAGGGACGCCTGGGTAGCTCAGTTGGTTGAGTGTCTGATTCTTGATTTCAGATCAGGTCATGACCTCAGGGTTGTGAGATCGAGCCCCCTGTCGGGCTCCACGCTTATTGGGGAGTCAGCTTGAGATTCTCTTTCTCCCTCTCCCTCTGCCCCTCCCCCCCTCATGTGCACGCATGCTGTCTTTCTCTCAAATAAATAAATACATCTTTTAAAAAAATCAATTCCTTTTTGTTCCTCTTTAATGCATGACTAGAAAATTTGAAACTACAAGTGTGGTTTATATTTTACGTTCTTTTGATCTAGAGAACTGGGATTTGACACCCTCAACTGTGACAAGGCCCACCCCCAAACCTGGGGGGCCATACCCTGGATACAGTTCCAGAAGCCATATCCACCAGTCCAGGTGAAGGCAGCTGGGTTGCAAAGGTTGCAAAATGTCCCTGGACAGTGTGGCCACCAGAGTTAGCTGCCCCAGCAAATCTCAAATCTGCTTCATACTACAAGCTGGGTGCTCTTGGGTAAGCCCCTTACTTTCACTCATCTGTACAATAGAGGCCATAGTGCCTAGCTCCTGGTTCCTTAAGTGCCTTGGGGCCTTTGCACTTACTTTTTCTGTGTCCCCTCAGATCTTTGCACTTCTCACCCATCTCTTCCTTAAGATCTTAGTTTAAACATCACCTTCCTGGTACGTGCACCCCAATGTTTATAGCAGCAATGTCCACAGTAGCCAAACTGTGGAAAGAGCCAAGATGTCCATCGACAGATGAATGGATAAAGAAGATGTGGTATATATACACAATGGAAT